TGTAGATTACAGTTCTTCTAAAATTACAGAAAAACCAGATCCACTAATACTCATGTGTCCACTGTACCCTTGTTTACTTCGTAATTTGTGTTCTGCTGCTACTCTAAGTTGAACTTCAATTCACCTTATACCATTGGATATTTGACGTAATTTTCATTACATGAAATCTTATTTTAATTAAGAGTTTTTTAAGAGATTCATTATTTCAAAAAACTAAATATCAATTTTAATATTATTTCTAAAAGAAAAATAATGAGATAAAGTAATAAATATTAGTATTCTAATATAAAATTCATATACTTTTTTAATATTTTTATGTTTGGGCCAGATTTTAATTAATCTCATCCCAAAAATATTTATTTTGTCAAAAATACTTTTTATACAAAATATATAATTATATAGAAATAAATTTATTACCAACTTACTTTTTACCAAAATTAAATTTATTAAATCAAATTAACTTCAAACAAATTTATAAATGCTGGGTCAAAATATCAAATGAAAGTCTACGTATATTTATCAAAAAAATTGTTCATCAGTTAATTGAGTAAGTCACCATAAGTGTATTGGATCATTATATCCATTTAAAATCTTAGCACAGTACTTGTAGACCACTCTTTAATACTAGTCATAGTTTTTTAGCATTAGACAACGTGAGTCAACAATAAATTCTAACCTAAAATATTATAAATAGTTAAGTCAATTTTAATATATTTTGATGCTAAACTGAGTTTAATATTAACGGTTTAAATTTAGTTAATAGAAAAAATTTAAGTTTAATCTATTTAACTAAATTCCGTGGAATATTTACTTTTTTAAGTTTTAATTTGAGTTTAATTGTTCAAAAATATAAACTTTGAGCATAATTCATTTGTATTGTTTATAATTTGATACTTATTAATATGTTATAAGATATTAGTTCGATATTTAACATGATTGTTTTTAGTAAAAATAAATAAATAAATATATATATATATATATATATATACTCATACAAATAATAATGAATGAATAGAAATGATAATATCCTTTTAAAATGTTGTATAATAAAAATATATAGTTCGTTTAAAATATTACTCTTGAAATTTAAGATTAAGTAACCAATAAATATAAAATAACAATTAGTAAAAAGTTTTAAGTTTTTAGATGAAATATAATAAATAAATTAATAATTTTTAATGTATTTTTTTATAAACAAAATATATATTATTAGAGAAAATTCAAGAAAAACTCAAAACTCATATATACAAATAAAAAACTTAAAATTTACTCTGAAAAATAAAAAATAAAAACAAACTTATATAAAGTTAAGATGAATACAATTTCGTGGGTTCAATACTAATTAGCTAACAAAGTAACTTCTCTTTTACTAACAAGTGATAGCCATTTTTAGAACCTCAGAATACTAAAATATACGACTTCCTCTCATCTAAAACACTATTAAAAAATACAATTATATTTTTATGTAACTACAAATATCATATTGTACTTATTCAAACAACTAATAAACATATATCTTCTCTTTTACTACAACCAATACTAACCAAAAAAAGTAAGTAAGTTAATAAATTTCAAAGCAAAACCAGTGAGAATCCAAGTCAATGTACAGTAAAGTACTAGATTTGAGATGAAAATAAACAGTTAAAAATAAATGAGTTAAAAGTTTCTCTAAATCATGACAGAAATAAATTACATCATCAATTTGAACACCACGATCAATTGCATAGAAATAACAGATACTTAAAAGGGACATTCTCTCTTCATAACATTTGTAAGGCATCCACCATATATTGATCTACACTATTAGGACCACCAAAAAATTCAAATAGCCATGAATACGTAGATTGCACTGAATAACAACCTGAAGAATCTGTCTTTTATACCCATTTATCTTCTTATAATACCTTAATATAAACTTCATTCAGAAGCTCTAACAAAAGATTAAAGTTTAAGATCTCATGTTGAAATAGTCCTCTTCGTCAACTAACATCCCAAACTCACCTAGTGCTATCATGAAAATCATTCTCCAATACACAATATTCAACATTCCTCGCCACCGCAAACAATTGCATAAATACCTCACACAATTGCACTTCACCTACCTACTTATCTCTAAAAAAAAAAGTGTGCAAATCAACACACATTCCTATCCAACTTCTCATTCAGTCACGGATTTCTTAACGAATAACTTATAGCAAATCACGTCATTACAAAGAATATCTATTAAGAACTAATAAACACTAAATAAAAAAAATTAATCTGCCATACCTAATTTCCAACACCTGCACTCACTTGAAAATAATATTAATAAAAAATTATAAAATTTAAATTTAACTTATTTACATAATTAAATGTTACTTCGTATTTGAATTTATTTAATTAGTTTTACACACTCAACTAATCATTTATCACGTCAAATAACAATAACTCACAAATATGTTTATATGTAATTAAACTATTGTGCGAATCTTGTGAATCATTTACTCGTTGGTTCCTTTCTCGATTATTTTATCATCTCAAACATTTGATTCTATGGTAATTAACCGATTGGTTCCTTTCTCAACCAAACCGTAACAATAGAGATAAATCTATGTGTAATTAACCAAATGGCACGGAAAATATTTATCGCGATAAATCTTTAAAGTTTAAGTAAATAAATACTTCAAATGGTTATTTTTAAAATGTGATGTCATATAAGTAAGAGTGAACTGGATAATTTTAAATAAAATAAATTTTCACATGATTGATGATGAGCATAAAAATATATACGCTGTTTTGCTTAACAGTTGTAATGTATTGCGACATGTAGACTAATGTAGACAAAGAAATCAGTACGATGGCATTTCATTAGATAATTAGTTTACTTTGATTTGATTATTTTCCCGCACGGAACATTTTTTTACATATGTTTTTTTTTTTTCAAAATTCAAAAAATATATAATTTTTTATGAAATTATAGAAATATGATTTTTTTTTATAAAATTATCATTAACAACTGTTGATGTAATTTTTAAATATTTAATTTTTTTAAATTACTATTGATAACTTTTGAAATTTTTTATTTTTTTATCTCTAAAATTTTGTACTGCATCAAAGATCGCCATTGATAATTTTTAAACTCTATATTTCTATAATTTTACAAAAAAATTCATATTTTTTGAATTAAATAAATATAAGAGAAAGTAGCATTCACACACTTCAATTTATTTATTTATTTTAAGTATAAGATAATTTTAATAATAAATTAAAATATTTTATAATTTAATTAGTATAAGAGATAAATTAACTTTTGATTTTTATATAACAACTTTTTTTTATTTAATCTCTATAATAGTTGATAAATAATTATCTAATACAGCAAATTTAAATGATTTTTTTAAATTTTTATACAAATTTTTTTTATAATTTAATTTTTATAAATAAAAAAATTGTATATTATTTTATATACAAATTATTTTTACTTTTATTTTTGTCACTATGTAACATTTTCATATAAGTGTTAATAATATTTTTTATATTCAGTTAATATCTTTTCAATTCATAATGTCTAACTTTGTTATACAAAGTAATATCTCTTTGTTTAAAACTTATTTACTAACTATCTTTACACGGGACAACATTTCTATGCTTAAACTCATTTGATAAATATTTTGAGAATATTTTATATATTGATTTATCTTTGCATGAGCACTATTTTTAGTGCGTTCATGATAAGATTCAAAAGATTGAGATAATGATGATAAAAGGAAGGATATGATTATGATGAAAATATAATAAAAAAGTTAATTAATATTAATAAAAATTTTAAGTTATAAAATTAGTATCAATAGAGATAAAAATAATTCAAATGATATTCATATAAAAATAAATTAAGACTCAGTTGAAAATGAAAAAAATAAAGTAAAATATAAGATTTTTTTAAAAAGTATGAAATATTTAAGATGATGAAAAAATAACAATAAAAATAAAAATAAAAATAAATTTTTATATTGATATATAATTATTTTTTCATCGTGAAAAAAAAATTATAAAAAACAAGCTTGTATAAATATTTTAAGATAATTTAAACCTATCATGTTATAAAATAAAATAAAGAATGATTTATATATATAAAAAATATACACATTTTTTATAAATTATAAAAGAAAACTAAAAGTTTATTTATCCCTTAAAAAATCATAAAACTTTAAAAAAGACATACATATTACTTTAAAAATAAAAGAAATACTTTTTTTTTCTGTGACTTGTTTTATATTAAAGTTACACACCCTTTTCACTCGATTTATATAATTTTAACAAATTAATTGAAATTAATCCAATGTTATTTTCTACACATCTTCTTATAATTTTGTACGGTGTTGATATAAGTTTTATTTAAATTGATTTTTTCTGGTCTATGTACCAAAAAAGTTGTCATGGTCTTTCCTGATTGATACATCCATTGATTGAAAATTAAGACTGGAATTATCCGGTTCCATAAAAACGCTAGTAAATTGATCAAGCATTCAACATATTCTACTAGGAGAAAAAAAAGGTGATAAAAGAATTAATTCAAAACTGGTGAAAATTATTGGTGGCTGTAAACTAATTAGTTTATTAATTGTAGATAGAAACTAATTCATAAAAATACAATAAATATACATTTTAAAAAAATGATCAAAACGAGCAAAAATATGAATCTGAATTTAAATATAATTGCATTTGCTTTTTAATTTAACATTATATTCATAAGTGAAAAAAGAGAATTAAGTTTAGGTTGAGATATAGTGAAAAAAATAATAATTACATTGCGTTTTTTAATATTTAATTTTTGTTTACTCAAATGAAATTAGATCACGTTCACTTTTTGCTCACTTCTCCATCCTTTCACATCAATATAAAAACGACGTGTTAAAAAAAAAAAGTTAAAATATGATATTAATTTTCAACTAAAATCATAGTACAGGAAAAAAAATGTAGCTCTATCTCTCTTCCAAGTCTCACTGTCTGTCTGAGCAAGCTGCATATGTGTCTGATTATTTCATTTCAGTGTGTGAATGGCTTTTAGGCAGCGTCGTGGAAATCTGTCCACTCTCATTGTTTCTCTCCAAAAATAGCAACCCACAACACAAAACCAAAGCTTTTCAATTCCATGGCACTGCCACTTTCATGCTGAGCTGCGTCTTCCTCAACACCTTCCACAATCTCACTATTTCAAGTACACTACTTCCAATTGCAAACTCACACACACACCTTCCACAATCTCACTCTCTCTCTCGATGCCTCTTTCTCTTTCACTGTAATTATCTCTCCCTCCATCAGCTTCTCTGCTTAAGTCATATTCATCTCTTTCTTCTCTCTTTCTCATCACTCACTTCTTCTGCTCTTTTCCTTTTCTTCCCAATCTCTTTCGTTTCTTGAGAATCCAAAAGCTCCATAAACTTATGCCTTCAAGAAGACTAAATTTGTTTGCTTTTTGTGTCTTGCTTTGTTGGACACTCGTGTGCAACAATGTTTTCTCAATGGTTTCTCTTTGTTAGCTTTCTGCTTCTTTGAGGGTATGCAAAAGGAAATTCAAGTTCAGTTTGAGCTACAGAAGCACTGTTAGGACTTAGGACACTGTTCAAGAGTCAATTATTGTTTGGGTTGTGTCTTGCAGTTGAATGTAATGGAATCTTGGAGCTATGTTCCTCAAGAAAAGGAGTATGTCTCCAATGACACACTGTCACCTCCCAACACACTTGGGAGAAGCAAAAATTTATTCTTGGGTTGGGAACTGAAAACCCCATCAAGTTTTTCCAACGACATGTTGCCTTTGGGTCAACAAAACACTGAGAATCAAGGTTTTGAGGAATTGGGTTTTCCCGAAATGTTGGGGAAACAGTTGTCTGATGATCTAATTGGTAGTGTTCCAAGCAGAAAGGTGGATGGTAGACACAGTAGCAGAAACACTAGTACTGTTGTGGATGCCCCAAATGCATTTTCTCAAAGAGGGGACTCAAATTCCAAACTTTCAAACTCTGTGGTGGACTCCAATACCCGGGATTCCCTCATTGACTTGAAGCTGGGTCGTTTTGCTGATCATGGGGATGCCATTGATCCAGCATTTTCCAAAGCAGCACCAATATTGTCTTCTTCTGAGTCATCAACACCCCCTAAGAGAGTGAGAGCGTCGGGGGTTCACTCTCAGATTGCATACTGCCAAGTCTATGGTTGTAACAAGGATCTCAGCTCCTGTAAAGACTACCACAAGAGGCACAAAGTTTGTGAGGTTCACTCCAAGACTGCCACAGTTATAGTCAATGGCATTGAGCAGAGGTTTTGTCAGCAATGTAGTAGGTTGGTTGGTTAATCTTTCAAGCTTTCATATTTCAAATCTTTTTTTTTTATTCCAGACTGCTGTGAACTAAATATATACACACAAAATTACTTTAGCCTCACAAAGGCTTGTATTATTTTTCTTTTGTGCCTATTGAAATGCTTGAACATTATTCTTTACCTGCAATTGTATGTCATATGGTTTTATCTGTTTTCAACATTAAGGTTATTAGTTTTCCTATTTCAGATGCTTTGAAATGGACAAGTTTGAAAAAAGCTGTGTGGTTAAGATATATAGCCCTGCTGTAATGTTTTGCTTATTATCCAGGTTTCATTTGTTGGCTGAATTTGATGATGGCAAGCGCAGCTGCCGTAAACGCCTTGCAGGCCATAATGAGCGTAGAAGGAAACCACAAGTGGGTATTCACTCCGGAAAGTCTGGGAGGTTGCTTCATCCATGTGGTAAAAATATATATTCTGAAATTAGTTTATGATATAACTTTCCTCTCTCATACACACTTGACTATTCCCTTAAGTACTCATCCTACCTTTTGGTCACATGCACATTCATCAGTTGCATTCTCTACTGATTATATTTCATGTGATTGATTGCTTAATTATATCAGTGCTGACACTAAAAAATATAGAGGCGTGTCTTTTAAAAGCTGGTTCCTTTTCCTTGTTTATTATCACCTTTTTGAAGGCTTCTTGTAATATGCACATACAGCCTCCTAAACATGAGTCAAAATGTTTGTTTTCTTTCCTATTTAACTTCTCAATTTTGATTGTGGTACAGTTTTCAGACAGCTTTTTGTTAAGATTCATTCTGATGCCGATTTCATCACTAATTCCCTCTGTGCACATCATAGCACGTCAGAATATGACAATATGTAATGTAGACCAGCTTAAATTATAGTATACCAGAGGTAATTTGTTAAAAGATGTCCCACTTTCTCACCCACCCAAAAAGAAAAGTGGTGATTTTCAAATAACGATTTAGTCAAATGAATATACATCTAGAGAACATGAACTGATAATGATATCTCATTGCCCCTTTTGTTTAAAAATGTTTATTTATTCTCCTTTTATTTTCTGACATTTGCTGGTTTTGTGCTATTCTTTATCAATTATCAGTTTTGACCTCGTGCAAACTAGCCTTTTCTTTTTGGGACAATGTGTAAGCTAGCTTTAATTTGGATTCTTTTGTTATGTAGGGGATGTGATGTGATCCATTAATGATTTGTTCAACAAAAACTATGGTGTTATCTAGGAGGGAAAATGATTTTCTGTCACCATACATGTCCGAGTGAAAGATTTCCCTTTAGAAATTAAACTATATCTTTATGATTTACTAACAACATGAAGTCAAATTAACAGTAAATATCTTCAATTCCCAGTTTTTACTTCATATTACTAACCTTAATATTCTAGCATATATCTTGGCAGCTGCCACTTGATTTCTCACTTCGATTGAATGGGGCCTTGGGGGGTGGGGGGATGAAACAATGCGAAAGTTTCATACATTACCGTGCTTTTAATTTATTATTTTATTGCACTCATGGAATGAAATAAACTTTCTACATTTCCATATGCTAAGACATCTACAGTGTAACAAAATTTCCAGTTGTTTTAATATTCATAAACTATTGGGTTCATCATTCAATTGTACGTTTAAGATGTGCTTCAATTCTAAGGATATGTTTGATCCTTAGTTAACTTTTGAACTGCTTCATTTACATGTAGTTGTTGTTAATTGAAATGTGGTCTGTGACTCTGTCTTTTATAATAATAACTGATACCCTGACACCAATTTTCTCTACTTGTAATCATCTGATATTAGTAAAATTTGTTTGATTTGAATTTTTATAAACATCCCTGGTTGCAGATAGCAGATTCCAGGGAACCATGCTAACATCAACATCTTTTATCCGCCCAGAGATGCTCCCAAATGAAGTCATGCGTTCTGAGAAATATGGTATGAGTGGCTTCTGGAGACCTATAAAGGCAGAATACGTGGCTGGTCCTAGGCATCTTTCTTCTATGCCTATTACCAATGGGCATCCTGAGTCAAGATCTCTATTTCTTTCGTATAATGATAAACAATTTCCCTTTCTTCATGAAAATGGTGCTACATCCACCACAGGAAGCATCTTCTGTGAAAACAACCAATATCCACCGACCCTTGGGGCCCAAATTTCTGGTTTAAGACCACTATTCCAGGGAACTTCGTTAGGAAGTGAGGACTTCAATGTTTTTGATACAGCATCAACTGTTCAAGGATTATCAGGGATTTCAGACTCATGTTGTGCTCTCTCTCTTCTGTCATCTCAATCCCAGAACTCTTCAAGCCAATCATCAGGAATTCCCTTGGCTCACTCCTTGGTTATTCCAAGCAGTCATAGCCATCACTACAACATGAGTCAGGTCTCTGAAAAGATAGGAATAAGCTCACAGACTTCATCTAACCGAGTGTCAGATAGTTTTCCATCGGAATTAAATCCTGCGGATGGAAGTCATCTCAGTCCTGTATTGATGTCAGACAATAATGATATTGTTAACTTCGATATGGCAGATGGAATTTTCCAAGGTTCGGATTTCATGAATGTGAAAGATCGTCTTTCCTGTGAAGATGGTGCAACCATTGACTTGCTACAGCTGTCATCACAGCTTCAGCGAGTTGAGCATCAGAGGCAATCCTTGCAGATTAAGCAAGAGAATGATTCTTTTTGCACTCTTCGGATTACTTAAGGTGCTTTTGAAGAGGTACGTTGTCCTGTTTTGTGAATATATAATCACCTAATTTTCTCTATGCAAACTACTTTAGCTCTTTGCTGCTGGTAAACTTGTCACTACCACTGCACATTATACACTCGCTTGAACTCATGTTTCCTCTGCTTAGGAGGAAAATGGAAAAGTGAAATTTCTGTGGCTGTTATTTAAGGCTCTACTGCGAATATGATTAATCAAATTATGTGAACTACCACCACTACCGAAGGGGATATTTTCTTAATCATATTTACTAAATTATAGATCTTAAAAAAGTTGTGATATCAGGATAAAATAGTTGTACAAATAATGTGTTGCTACATTAATGAGATTGACATCTAATGTCAAACTCATTAAATAATGTGACATCAACATTCAACAACATATTGTTGAATGACAATATAAACTTTTTTTTTTTACACTAAGAATGCATCAAAATAAACCCCATATTTTGAGTCTCTATACAATCAAGTCATTCTCCCCCTTAATTGCTGTTCTTTGTGAAGCATATTTACATAGACTGAATTCTCATAACATGTCTCTAGTTCGGAGCATAAAGATTTCATTTTCCGTTTAATGCAGGAAACAAGTTGTGCAGCATGTGACAGACACACCTTTGCTAGTCAACTTAGACAATTTAGGCATCAGGGAAATGAAAACTTGAAATGGTGCCATTCTCATCTGCTGCTAACTACTAAAATAGCTTGCTTTTGCTGATTCTGTTCAAGAACTTATCTGTAGAATAACTGATCAACTAAACACATAAGGCTATATGTCCATGCTATTAGTTGGGACAAAGTTGTCCCTCTCAGTGTTAATATATTCTTCTGGATGTAATAAACAAAAACCTTTGGTGTATCAAAATGTGCTCTTCAGGGGATAAACACTTCAATCAGGACAATTGCTTACTAGAAATATTGTCCTATCTCGTGCAATCTATGGTAATGCCCTTTTTTTTTTTGTAATGGTGAAATATTAATCTGGTACGGAGTATTGTTGTAAGAGCAATGCTACTTCAGCATCACTTTTTCACAACAATTTCTACATCAAGGAGTGAGATAGGAAGAGTAGAAAGTGTTGTGGGAATAACATTATTCTTTTTGTAACAATGCTGTAAGTACATCACTCAGATATAAGCAAATTCATCAAACAAGGAGATGGAAGAGGACATGCCATACCAACACTCAAGAGAATCCCCTGTAACTAAATTCAACACTTCAAACACTTATCATGTGTCGAGCTGCCACTATGTATTTCTCGGCACCAACCATCTTCATGCCAAGACATAAACCTTCAATAGACTCATTCCATGACTACGGTATACAAGCTTGACAACCAAGTACCAACAATTAAAAGGAAATGATCAAAGAATCAAGTCAAAAACTGAAGGAAAAACACATTGGAACACGTTTTTCTACTTTTATTTTCTAAAATAAATAAAGTATGAAAGTAGTGGATATTTTAATCGGTTGTCATTGCACGGCTCAAGAAACATTGCCACTAAAATCAATATCATCTCATCTCAATTTACAAATTACCTCCACTAATATAAACACATTATCCCAATGAAATTTATTTTTTGTCACTCATTAGATGTGTCACTGACATCATTTTTAAACCTGAGCTTCACTCGAAACATTTACTTAAAAAACCTTTATTTTTATAGCTCTGCACAACTTTTATCAAATTCTTTATTTGCTTATGTGTCCTTGCTGAGTTGGATTCTGAAGAAAACAACTGCCAAGTCCGCAATCTATATTCTATAGCTCCTCTTTTTCTGTCATTTTACTATCCAATAATATACATGGAATCACCAGCCCGACAGAGTACGAAATTCAGCTTTGTAAAAAAATATTTTTAATCTCAATATTTAAGTTTAAATATCTAAAAGTAGTAAAATTTTATTTAAAATTTTTTATTTATATTAAAATTATAAAAATATAATCTATAATTTTTAATAAAATTTTACACTTAAATTTAGTCTTAAAATTTATATTAACAATTTTTTTTTACCCAGTTCAAGTTCTGGATTTCGCGCTTTATAATTGGTGGAGTCGATCAAATCATGAAATCAGAGCCGTCTGAATTCAGATTCATTTGAATTGTTTTGTTTCAAAACCACTAACTCGAAGTTTAAGTAATCATATCTTTATCTAATGACTCTATATGATGAATGCACCGACTTTTGACTACACCTAGTTTGGGTGTCCAAATTCTAGCCACAGAAAGATCAAATTATCAGCAAAAGAGAAAATAAAGAAAAAAAAAAGAAACAAATGGAGGAGGAAAGAGAACAATAACCTAACAGTGGGGGAAAAGCAGTACTGATCAGATATTCCTGAAAGCGATAATGTCACCATCAAATTAAAAAGCTAACACACTTAGTCTGATAAGCTACATCTCACTGAAAAATTTAAAAAGTAATTGTAAAATAAAGCGCGCCTCAAATTTTAATTTTCTAGTTCCAGCTCTATACTTTAAGCAAAAGAGTAAACCCATAATTTATCCGTAACATTGATAGGTGAGGAGTCTTTGATAGTTTTGATAGTTTTAGCTGTCCATTACTTTAATTCTTGACGCTATTATTATTAAAAAAACAATGATAAAATTACAAAGTAAAACGTTAAGTAACATATAGAATTAAAGAGTGTTGAGAATATAATAAATTAGTAAGGGTAAAAATAAAGAAGCGATGAAAAATGATTAAAGAAATTTGAATAAGGAAATTTTGGAAAAGAAAACATATCTACAGCCAAAGCCAAAGAGTTACGTAACAGAAGCAACATCTTAAAGCGTTTAGAATAAAAGAAGTTATGCAAGGCTAGTTCAGATGCAAGCACTTGGAAGCCTAGCATTGCGAATGATAATCAAAGAGGCTTTCGAAATAGGATAATACATAGTAGAATAAGTCTTTCACCATTGAATAATAAGTTAGACCACAAGCCTACGTTCCATCCACTTGGGTAGTATTCCTCAATATGCATCAATGAAAGAATGAAGTTCAAGTGAAACTTAACGAGTGTTCAAGCAAATGAAAACTCACGGATGGTATTTAAATTAGAGGGTTTTCGGGCGTTTTACTCTAACAAAAATGTTTTATGCCTTAAAAATGAGATACTTGTTACTCTTTAAGCGTAACTTATATATTGATATATCAATTAACCCTTTACAAAAAAAAAGACATGTTGAGAGATGGAGTTAACTAATTTCTCCAAGAAAGCACCATTACTTACACTTCCCTAATTTATTCCTACTAGTTAGTTTACAGAGTTTTCATTTTTGTATATTTCATAAGCTTATGAACATGACTCTTATACAACAAAGAGTAACAAATATGATATTGTATAAAAGTTTTAAAGTGATAAATTCTAATATTTATTTTTATTTTTGTTAGATATGATTAGATTTATCTTAAAGTGATCTTTATCAAAACATGCTATTAGAAATAGCAGTTGTTGAGAGAAAAGAGATGAAATGCATGTATACTGTGTAAAAATCAAATTGGTAGTCATACATTGTTGATATAAATACAGTTTCTATAGATAATGGGGGAGAAAATAGAATTGATTAATATATATATATAAAGATATTCATCATGTTGAAGATGATGAGGATTGTGGACCACTAAAAGTTAGAGATACACACGTAATAAAGAATAGTAAATTTTATCATTTCGTCTCCTGAATTGATTGCAATGGTAATAATCTCGAAGACAAATTTATAATCAAATATTGTTATTCATTGTCACTAAAAATGCATTAACACTTAAACAATAAAAAGAAAGAAAGCAAAGCAACATTAAGAGTGAGAGAAAATGAAAGAAAGAAAAATATAAAAAAATCTTGGGACACAACGTAACTTAATTTGACATTCAAAAAAAATGCCATATCTTATCTTTGTCACTTAATATCATATTTCAATATTTTATTAATATTCTCTAACAATAAATAATGTTAAAGACTGAATTGATGGGTGACTAAAATTTTCAAACACAGTTGAAAAACATTTTAAAATATAAAAAATTAAAACCTTTAGATATGAATATCAAGCAGATACACAAATATGTTAATTTATGTGAAAATTAAGACATAAGTTTAGTAAAAACATATTAAATAAATTATTTTTATTTATTGATTTCTTTTTATTGATTTTTATATTTAATATATCTAATATTTATATTAGTTTGTCATCATTGTTATATTATTAATTATTTATAATCTCTTGATAATTATTATAAATATTGTATATTCAAGTTATAATAATACTAATCCCTTTATTATTAAAAAAATTAAAGGTAATGTTATCAAACTTTAATATTAAGACAATTATATAATAGGCACATTAAGTATCTGATACAGATCAATACAGGTACGATTATCAAATACATACAGGTATGCTGTTAATTTTAAATTATACATGCATGATAAGCTTCGTCACTCATGGCTCTTGCTTTGTTATTGGAACATACACTGGATTGTGATTTTATAAATGCACGTATAATTTAGTGTTTGTTTATAAGTTTTTATTTTCGAAGAAACTATGTCATACATTATTGGACGCACATCACCGCATATTCTTATTATTTGACTATAGCTAGTCTTATTTCATTGTTCACGGCCATGTATTCTAATACCGATTTCTACATCTAATATGCAAGTTGCAAGATACAGATAATGTATAAGAAGCAGCATCTTGGGTTTGGGGCACTCTGGTACCTCTAACAAGACAGTGAAACCTTTAAGTATAGTAAGCATAGTTAATTCCCTTTATTTTTAATCCCTATGTCTAGTGATGGTTACAGCTCACAAGTTCAATGTTCCAGCATTTGATGTTTCAATTTTTTGGTTTTCGGTGAGTCTCTGGAATCAAACATCTACTTATTATTGGAGAAGGAGAAAGAGCACTCTCCAATTTTTAAAGAAGCACTTTCATGAAAATGAGGGTAAAAAAAAAAAAAACAACTTTAACTTAATTTGACATTTTTTTGTCTACATTTTAAGACACAAACTATCCATGATTTTACCGTAGCTAAAATATTACATGTTATTATGATGAATAAATATAAAATAAATTCTTTTATTTGTAATATTTTTTTCTTATTCTTTCTCTAAGTTTTTGGATGTGAAACTTCAATTACTAACCCAATATGGCCCAACACTTATTTCACAATTTCTTGCCTCCAAAGAATCCAAGTTGTTGCATATCTTTCTCATTTTTCTACAGTGAAGGAGCTTCTTCACCACCTGTACATTTAATCGTATATGCACATGACATGAGCATATTTTATGGTTTGAAATTCAATTGATGTGTTTGTACTGAAGTCAAATCTATTTGTGCATGAATTCTTTCTAATGCAGTAAATTATAACTTTCACATTAAAATATAGTTTAACATGATTTTAGTGACTTCTCAAGCACACACATAAATGAGCATGAACAATGATAAGCATGCACTATACACTACCGAGCATGTTGTACAACTCCACAAGATAAAGCATTTGAAGCCATTTGCCAGGTGTTAGAATAACCAGAATGAACCAGATGATTAAAAGACTGAAGAAAGGAGTAAGGGGTGCTAACTAGATTTTTTGCTTGAATTCATCACAATGCAAAGAAATCAACTGTCTATTCTAGCAGAAGTAATTATTCAAGCAACTAAAATAATTTTACAATGCAAAAGCTTAAAAAATGCACACTAGTGGCAGTAAAAATCCACCCTCCTAAAAATAACAGGACAGAATTCTTGTGACAAGCATTTATGCACCAGTGTTAACCATGTGGATGCCTTCAGATGTAACAATCTGGTGCAGATAACTTGATTTCAAAAGATTAGATGAAAGATGAACCCTCATGTTTCTATATATAGCTTATTCTCCAAGGTTAAGTCAATAAGATTACCAAACAAGCCAAAGTGCCTATGACAGTACTTAGTACAGAGAAGACTAGTTTTGAACTTGCATTTGGCAGCCATGGGTAGGCATCTGGAGGTGGCATTACACAGTTATCTCCATTGAAATAAATTCTTCGTGGGAAAGCCCATCCCTTATCA